TGTAGGGAGCCGAGCCCCGGGCCTGACCCTGGGGCGCGCTGGGCTCCAGTCGTGGCAACTGGGTGTGGGGAGGCCACCCAGCCCACCTGGGGTATCCGCTGTCGGACGGGCTCTCACCTCCAACATCCGCAGGAACCCCTGAGCCCAGGCCCGGCCGGCTGGGGTTCCATGGGCCCTGGGTCCACATTGCCCGGGGATTGGTGAGTTCCCTGAGGGTTTGAGCAGCTCCTTTGGACCCAGGGCTCTCACTAACCCAGGGAATCCCACCGGGGTGGGTCGGGCCGGGCTCCAGGGCCCCAGGACCGGGTGAGTGCCACCTAGACCATGCCTGGCTCCGTGGACCTCCAGAACACACAGTTGGTCCAGGATCTGGATCTATCCCGACCCGGTCAGGACTTCCCATCCAGGAGTTATGCTTGCCCGCTGCCCCTTCAGTGCTAGGGGAGCAGGAGAAGAGGTTGGCCAGAAAGGTCTCCTTGGGTTTGCGGCTTTGTGGACCCTGATGGCCTAATTTCTGAGGCTGAGGTGGAGCTATGGAGAGATCTCAGGCCTGCACTGACTGGGTCTCCACAGTTTCAATAAGCCACTACTTGAGCTGAATGAGTAGTGCTGCCAGCGGAAATGCGCATGACCCTAGGCTGTCCCAGGCTTGGCCCCTCTTGGGGGGGGGGGGGCATGCCTGCAAAGGTTGGTTTTTTTTCCTGTCCCCACTCTACTCTCTGGGGCCTGACATCTTCTCCTCCAGCAGCTGCAGAGCCAGGACATCAAAGCTGGAGTGAAGCAGACACTGTCCATGGAGCAGGTAAGGCCATGTGCTTATTTCAGACCTTTGTTTACAAAATGCTTCCAAACTGCTAGTCTCTTAGGAGACCAGGCTGCTTCAGAAGGGCAGGGAAAGGGCCCCTTCTCTCTACTAATAGAAAATGAAACAGATCCCCCAAAGGGGCGGAGTCTGGCTTCAGGACAGCAAGCCTCAGCATATACTCAGTAAAGGCTCTGGGAATGACTGACCTCATTGGCCAGTTAAGGTCTCCCAAGCCCTGAACTTACTCCTCCTCCTCTGTCTTTGAGTCAAGAAGAAGGTAGTGGAAACCAAGGATTCTTTCTCACTCTTGGTCTAGTAGGCAGGACAGCAGACCAGCAGTATGGGGGGGCTGACCCTGGGTCTCTTTTTCCTCATTTCTGGCAGGTGGATAAGGTGGACAGGGGGCGGTGGTGATGGCGCAGTTTGACACTGAATACCAGCGCCTAGAGGCTTCCTACAGCGATTCACCCCCAGGAGAGGAGGACCTGTTGGTGCACGTCCCTGAAGGGAGCAAGTGTAAGTTCTTGGCCATGACAGCCAGAGCTGGGGCATGGGGGAGAGCTGGTGGAGTGGGGAGCAAGGGGCTTCCATTCCTTCAGGGCTCTGACATCTCTACTCCTGTGCCCACAGCACCTTGGCACCACATCGAAAACCTCGACCTCTTTTTCTCTCGAATATCCTTTGTGTCTCTGTTGGAGCTGTGGGACCTTTAGCCCCTCTCTAAGACAGGCCTCTGGTGGGAAGTTGGGGTGGGTTTGACTATAATCCCTGTAAGGGGGATGGAACTATTGAGGTTAAAAGAGGATGGGGGAAATAATGATTGTTCTAAGTACCAAGAGCTATGTACCTTTCACTTCTTTTTTTAATGTTGGGTTGTTTTTTTAAATATTTGTGTTGATTTCAGAGAGGAATGTGGAAGGAGAGAGAGACAGAAACATCAAGGATAAGCGAGAATCACTGCCTCCTGCACGCCCCACACTGGGGATCGAGCCCACAACCCGGGCATGTGCCCTGATCAGGAATCGAACCGTGACCTTCTGGTTCATAGGTAGACACTCAACCACACTGGCCAGGCGGTGCCTTTCACTTGTGGTGTCTATTTATAAGGGACCTCTCTAAGAGTGCTTCTCCTTTTTGATGGGATGCTAATAACCATAATAATTAATGTCTTTTGACTCATTCTGTGTCAGCTCTGTGTTAAATACTTTACATGCATTGTCTTAGACCTAATAATCCTATAAGATAGGTGCTGTTATTCCCAATATATCACTGCAGACAAAAGCTTAAAGAGGTTAAGTGCTTGGCCAAAATTACACCGCTAGAAAGTTATTGAGCCAGGACTTAAGCCCAGGTATATGACACCAAAGTCTGTGCTCTTAATTGCTGTCTCTACGAACCACTTTTTCTTAAGAATTACACGTTTATAATCTACACCAGAAGAATGGCTTCACTTGTATGCTCATCGGGGAGATCTTTGAGCTTATGTAAGTATAAAAAGGGATGGATCATTTGGTAAAGGAATACATCTCAGTCTTTACTCTTCTTGAGCTCACCCCTGGCCCTACCTGCCAATGCATCACAGTCCCAGGCTCAAAATTCTGCAAACCTTTGTATTTCAGGGATTGGATATGGCACCAAAATTTAAAGCCTTCACCATTTTTACCTCCCATATAAGCTTTCCAAGTTCTGTCTCTTCCATGAAGAGAATTCAGACTTGATCATTTCATCAGAGCTCCAGTGGAATGGGCATGCTTCAGTCAGAGATGCCAGCCACTTGAGAAAGTGTCTCTGTTCTGCCTTGGTTGTGCCTTAGACCTGCTGCTGGGCAGAGAGCCTTCTAAGAGGAAGGAGCCATATGACCTTGCCAAAGAGGAAGGGGTTGGGAAACCATCCCTCAGTAAGAAAGAGTTCAAATCCCCAAAGGGCTTCTAACGACTATATCAAAAGGAAGTCGGGGACCAGGAACCAGTGACAACCATCAAGACTTTTGAAAGAGTCCAGTAAGCAGTGGCAGAGATTACTGTGAGGCGAAAGACAGAAGCACACTGATTCTGTAGGGCCTGAAGCTAAAAGCAAAAAATAGGAGCTTGTTTGTAGGGCTGAGCAGTAGAGAGAGCCTACGAGGAGCTCCCTAGCCCCTCCATTTCCCAGAGGCTGCGCCCTAATCTTGTCCCGCTGCTTCCAGACTCCTCTCTTTTCCACACTATTTCACTGGTGCCTCTCTGACTCTTGGGCTGCGCCCCCTCTTCCCAACTCTCCAGGCAGTTCCTCTTTGTGGTTGCCTTCACCACCTTTCTGGTCAGCTGTGTGGACTATGACATCTTATTTGCCAACAAGATGGTGAACCACAGTCTTCACCCCACCGAGCCCGTCAAGGTCACTCTGCCAGATGCCTTTTTGCCTGCCCAAGTCTGTAGTGCCAGGTAAGGGCTGCAGGTCAGAGGGCATCAGAGTCTGTAGTTCTGATCGAAGGTGGGGAATGGAATGGAATGTGAGGCAATAACACATTCCCTAGAACAGAGACTCAGGCCCAGCCTTGCCAAATCCTCCAGGAGAGCAGCTTATCTGCCAAGACTCCTTAAAGGCACCCCTTCTCGCCATTTTTTACCCCACCAGGATTCAGGAAAATGGCTCTCTCATCACCATTCTGGTCATCGCTGGTGTCTTCTGGGTCCACCGGCTTATCAAGTTCATCTATAACATTTGCTGCTACTGGGAGATCCACTCCTTCTACCTGCATGCTCTGCGCATCCCCATGGTGAGACTGGGAAGTTGGGCAGTTAGCGCCACAGCCCAAGATGCCTTCTTCACCTTGGTGAGGGTGGGGTGTATTCCTGGGCATCAGGCCTCCTCGGCTGTCATTGGCAGGTGAGGGAGCATCTGCTTAAGGGCTCCACTCAACTAAGCACAGGACCCTGAGCCTCTCAGGTGATGCAGGGCAATGGGTCAAGGCAACCATCCCACCTTCCACACCTTGTCTCTTCCCCACCCCACAGTCTGCCCTTCCATACTGCACGTGGCAGGAAGTGCAGGCTCGGATTGTGCAGACCCAGAAAGAGCACCAGATCTGTATCCACAAGCGTGAGCTGACAGAGCTGGACATATATCACCGCATCCTCCGCTTCCAGAACTACATGGTGGCACTGGTTAACAAATCCCTCCTGCCCCTGCGTTTCCGCCTGCCTGGCCTTGGGGAGGTTGTCTTCTTCACCCGTGGCCTCAAGCGGGAGCCTGGGGCCCTGGGAGCACGTTGCTGGTCACTCTATGGCCGCTGCTACCTCCGCCACTTCAACGAGCTGGAGCATGAGCTGCAGTCCCGTCTGAACCGTGGCTACAAGCCAGCCTCCAAGTACATGAATTGCTTCTTGTCACCTCTGCTGACACTGCTGGCCAAGAATTGCGCCTTCTTTGCTGGCTCCATCCTGGCCGTGCTTATTGCCCTCACTATCTACGACGAAGATGTGTTAGCTGTGGAACATGTCCTCACCACCGTCACACTCCTGGGGGTCACTGTGACCGTGTGCAGGTGGGTCGGGTAGCAGGTGGGAGCGAGCTGACTAGCATTCCCTGGCAAGGCTGACGTCTCACTGTGACCCTGGTCCTGCAGGTCCTTTATCCCAGACCAGCACCTGGTGTTCTGCCCTGAGCAGCTGCTCCGCGTGATCCTCGCTCACATCCACTACATGCCCGACCACTGGCAGGGTAATGCCCACCGCTCGCAGACCCGGGACGAGTTTGCCCAGCTCTTCCAGTACAAGGCAGTGAGTGGAGTTGGAGTTAGGGCCTTCTAGAAACTGGCCGATAGCTTGGTGGTGAGGCCTGGGATCCCTCCTACTCTCATGGCCTTGGTCCCTTCCCTTGTAGGTATTCATCTTGGAGGAGTTACTGAGCCCCATTGTCACACCCCTCATCCTCATCTTCTGCCTGCGTCCACGGGCCCTGGAAATTATAGACTTCTTCCGCAATTTCACTGTGGAGGTCGTTGGTGTTGGAGATACCTGCTCCTTTGCCCAGATGGATGTTCGCCAGCATGGGCATCCCCAGGTACTGGGAGAGGAGGGGGCAGGTGGCTAGAGACAGTGCTGGCAAACTCCAAAAAGGTATCTCTCCTGAGCCAACACCTCACAAAACAGCAGCCCTGTCTCCAGGCACACACTGCTTGATAAACAGGAGCCTGGGCTGGATTTTAGCCCTAAACTGGCACCCTTGGCCAAGAAGCTCCCTGAGAAAGGCACAAACCAAGCAATTAGCTCAGTGTGTGGCCACTCCTGGGGTGGGCACCAGGGCCCTGGACAAGATACAGCAGTGTATTGCGGTCTCTGTCCTCCAGGGGTAAACCTCTCCCTAGCAAGAAAGGTACAAAAAGGGTTCCTGTAAGAGAACTATCCTCTCACTGTGGCCTCTCTTGTTCAGTGGCTATCTGCTGGTCAGACCGAGGCCTCAGTGTACCAGCAAGCCGAGGACGGGAAAACAGAGTTGTCACTTATGCACTTTGCCATCACCAACCCTGGCTGGCAGCCACCACGTGAGAGCACGGCCTTCCTGGGTTTCCTCAAGGAACAGGTTCAGCGGGATGGAGCAGCTGTTGGCCTTGCCCAAGGGGGTCTACTCCCTGAAAATGCCCTCTTTACGTCCATCCAGTCCTTACAATCTGAGTCTGAGGTGTGTTCCTGGGGGCTGGGAGGTGATGGGCAGAGTGGACTCCAGGAGCTGGAGTTGAGAACTGGGCATGGGGTGGAAGGGCGTACCCAAGTGGTCGGCAAACTGGCCCCTTGAGTGTGGCTCTTCCACAAAATACCACATGTGGGCGCGCACGTACAGTGCGATTGAAACTTCGTGGCCCATGCCACGGGGCCAAAGAGCTGCATGTGGCTCGTGAGCCGCAGTTTGCCGACCACTGGCCTACCCTATAGTTTTCCTTCTCTCTGTTTAGTCTGTGTCATTGGTTCCTGATATAAAAAATATTGGGGGCCCCAGAAGCTTCCCTCCTGCCCTGAGAATTCTCACCCCTTCCTTTCACAGCCACTGAGTCTTATCGCAAACGTAGTGGCCGGCTCGTCCTGCCGTGGTCCTTCCCTGCCCAGAGACCTGCAGGGCTCCAGGCACAGGACTGAAGTCGCCTCTGCCCTGTGCTCCCTCTCCCCTCTGCAGCCTGGGCAGGTTTCCACGGGCCGGGCTCCCAATGCCATGGCAGGCTCTGGGTGAGTAGAGGTGGGCCCAGATGGGAGGGCATGGCAGTAGCACCTAGCATTTTACATCGGTCTCAGAAATGTTAATAATTGCCATCTCTGTGCTGGGAGGGACAGGATGGATGCCAGGACAGCCAGCTCTGGGAGCAGTGTGTGGGAAGGACAGCTGCAGAGCCTGGTGCTGTCAGAATACGCATCCACTGAGATGAGCCTGCACGCCCTCTATATGCACCAGGTGAGTGGGCCACAAGGAGCAAGGCCACGGACCCAAGGTAGCAGTTGAAAAATAGAATAGAGGGTTTTAGAGGTGGAGAAGCAAGACGTAGGTTCAAATCTCTACTCTGCCATTTACCTGCTCTGCAATTTCCATTCCAACATATACCCTCTTACTATCCATTTAGCCAAGCTTATTCTCATCCAGGGCCTTTACACACTGGGGTTTCCCCTGCCAAGAACCCCCTTCCCTGAGATACTGATATGGCTCCCTCCTTCTCCTTATCAGATCTCTGCTCTTAGCTTTTCTATGTGACAGTCTCTGGCCACACTGAGTAAAAACTGCCCTTGCCCGCCCTTCTGAATCTTCCCACTCCATTTTTCTCCATAGCATTTAGCACCATCTGACATATTTTATTATTTCCTTATTTCCTTATTTATTTATTTATTGTCTATTCCCCCCCCCCCCTTTCTCCCTCCTAAGTATATAAGCCCAAAAAGGACTTGGGTTTTGATCTGGTTTTCACTGCTATATCCCCAGCACCTAAAAGAGTGCCTGGCACTTAGTTCCATAGTTTGTTCTTAAATCAAGTGTCTAGATACAATGGGTGCTATTATAACCTTTGCACAGGCTTATTCCAGGGGTCTGCTAAGAATTTAACCTGTAAAACATTGTATGTATGTTACACACTTTTAACACAATAGATACTCTGGTCAGTGATTCTAGGTGAGATGGTATAAATGGGAACTGGCTGATACCATGGTGGGGAGCAGCTGTTTCAGACAGATACCCTTCTGTTCCCAACTAATGAGCCCCCCACTTCTCAGCTCCACAAGCAGCAGGCCCAGGCTGAACCTGAGAGGCATGTGTGGCACCGCCGGGAGAGTGATGACAGTGGGGAGAGTGCTCCTGAAGAGGGGGGAGAAGGTGCCCGGCACCTCCAATCTATCCCCCGCTCTGCCAGCTATCCCTGTGCTGCTGTACCCCGGCCTGGAGCACCAGAGACCACTGCCCTGCAAGGGGGCTTCCAAAGGCGCTACGGTGGCATCACAGGTATCCAGTGGGCATTCAGGAGGACACAGCCTTTCTTCGCATCCCTCCTGGTGAAGAAAGAAGTGAGAGGGACCAGGCCAAGGAGAATAACCCCTCTCTGTCCCCATACAGGGCAACCCTTCCCCTCATTCCTGTTTGTATTCGTTCTAAGAGTATGTTTACTTGTGTCTCTAGATCCTGGCACAGTGCCCCGGGCTCCCTCTCACTTCTCTCGGCTGCCCCTTGGCGGGTGGGCTGAAGATGGACAGTCAGCATCAAGGCACCCAGAGCCCGTGCCCGAGGAGGGCTCTGAGGATGAGCTCCCCCCTCAGGTGCACAAGGTAAGGGCTCCAGGACCTGTTAACAACGGCCAGAAATAGCAACTTCCAGGCTGAGGTCAAAGCTCATGCAAAGGAAGTTGGGCCTCTCAAGCAGAGATTCTGCACCCTTTCACCCAAAATACACTCCCCTTCCTTTCCTCGCCTGCTCTGAAATACAGGCCTTGATTTTTCCTTTGCTTACCTCCCCAAGAATCAAGCTTTCCTTTTCTTTTATCTCCAGGCTTCTTTTAGGTAAGCAGCAGATAGCTGAAGACTATCTCTACTACCAGCCCTCTTCTCTCCACAGGTCTAGACAAGGCTGAGGAGGGTCCCTATGCCCCAGGATGCAGGCATCTGTTGCCCTGCCATCCCATCCACCTGCCATGGAGGGCTTCTCTGAGTGTTGCCTGGCTCCACGCGTATGGTGTTTGTGTGTCCGTGCCTGGCCAAGGGAGGTGCCAATACTAGGCTCACCACAGCCCCAGGAGAGAAATTGGGGGCCTAGGACCAGGGCACACAGGACTCTAGCCTCATCCCCAGGAACTCACTTGGCTCGGAGTGTGGTGCTAGCAACTGGCCCCCAGCCCAGCCCCAATACTGCCACCTTTGCACCTACCCCTACGAGTTTCCAGAGGACTGCCCACCACAGAAGCTGCCAACCAGGGAGAACCTGTGCCAACTGTGGAGTGGGGAGGTTGGGCCTGGACCCTCAACCTCTGTGGCCTCCCTATCCCCACCCTGAACAGATGAGCAGCTCAGGCTGTGGCCCTTACCTCACCCCCAGTTCTCCCAGTGCTACAGCCTGCTCACCCCTCCCTTCCTGCACATCACTGGCATGTGAGCTGCTTGCTCTGGTTCTGTTCGCTTGTTGCCCTTCCGTTCAACTTTTGATTTGCATTGGCGTAGAGGCCCTAGCTCCCAGCTCCTCTCACGCTATCTTTTGACACTAAGGATGGTTTCTAAATTACAGGAGCAGGATGGAAATTTTTTGCTGCCCTGTCCAATTTTTCAGATGGCTCCTGGGAGACTGAGGCCTTCCTAGCCCCCATTACTGCTTATTGTACCCCCATCCCTCCCACCTCCTGCACAAGGGACGGGGTTGGAGTGTGCCCTGGTCCGTCTACCTCCCAGCAAGAGAGCTCTGACCTGCCTCCTGTTGTCCCCTAGAGGGGGACAGAGGGGCGGCAGGATGGCTTTGCCCTAGGCTGTGGGCTGCCGCATTGCATGCTGGGACCCAGCTCTTACCCTCAGCCCCACCCTCGGCTCCGGTCCGCTGCGGGGAGTGGTGAGTTGCGCTGCCTGAACTCACCGCGGGACGCGGTGGTGACTGTGTACAGCTTGATTACCCTTAATAAAGAAGGGACTTTGACCAGGTCGCGGCCATATTGTCTCCACGGCTAGGGTTCGGGGAACAAGCGGAGTGGGGTACATGGGGTCCCCACAGGTGGCTGTGGACCGGGACAGGCCCCGTAGGAAAGTGGGCCTGTGCGGTGTCAAGGACATACCGAGCCAGCGGGCTTAGCAAAAGGGCCGTTTCCGATCCAAGGCTCCTTGGAGGTCAAGGTCTCCAGCCGGATGGGCGGTCAGATTTCCCGCTCTGAGCACGTGACCGAGCTGACGCCGCTGGTTTGTTTCGCCCTCCCCAGCGCCCCTTCCCCCCGCCCCTTCGGTGACACATCGCCAATGGCTGGGAAGGGACTGGGCGGTTACGGTGGGCGGAGCTGCTGCAGAAGAATGCGGCTCGAGTCCGACACCGTCCGTGTG